CCACAGCCAGGCAGCGAGCTGCCGCGCGGGGCTGCGTGGGCCCGCAACAGATTTCCCGCTGATCCAGATTAAGGTGGCACCTCCGGTCAGGGATCGGTGCCCTGCGCAGCCTTAGGGATAGACAGCACCAGCCATACGCGAGCAAGGGAGCTTGCGACCTGGGTGAGGGGAGAGACGGTGCCCCCAAACACCACCCAAGGCTGCGTGAAGGAGCTTTGCCCCCCAGGAGAGGGGAGGGACCATGGCACTCCAAGCTGTGCTGCGGTGAGCAATCTGCAGGTTCCTGCCGTGCATCCCTGGGCAATCCCCCTCCTTTGTTCCCAGAGCACCCACCTTCCGCGTCGGGAGGGTCAACAACCTTGTTTGCCTTCCTGTCCTCTTCCTGCACAGCATCCCAGCCCTCCACCGAGGAGCCGCGGGATGGGGGAACGCTGAACGCCTCCGCTGCCTCTGAAACACCTGGAGCCCTTCAGGAGTGGGGGGCTGATGGGAGACGATCCCCATCTGCCTTGGGGGGAGGGCAGCTCAACACCAATGCAAGTAATGGGGCACAGCCCCCCCAGAGTGAAAAGCTGACACAGAGCAAGCTCCACCAGCTGCCCAGGCCTCCCACCCCAGCACCCCACATACATACCCCAGTAACAAACCAGAACCAAGTTTCAGGAGCACAAGCTGCATGGAAGGGGACACCCAGGAGCATTTATAAAGATCCATCCATCATCCCTTACTGGGATCAGACCGGGTCCTGCTGGTTTCCCACCTATCTCCAGGAAGGAATCTCCCAGCCCATTAGCTCTCCAGGAAGGTCAATTAGGTAGAAACGGCTGCAGGTGGGGTTTGCATCATTAGCAACAGGTAATTGGAAGCTCCCCCCCTGCTCGGAGAGCCTGCCCTGACACTGTGTTTGCTGTCAGCATGTTTATGAGACAGCATCTCCACAGGGGGATGGGGAGGCCTGATTTAATTAATTACCAGTAATTAATATTTGCACAATTCTTGGAGAGCCACAGGTGAAGGGGACTGTGGAAAAGCAAAGCATTCACCCTTTAATTAATAAC